TTTTGAATATACCCAATGTGGTGAAGGGTATCATATAGTCGACGCCGTCCGAATATTTTTATAAAAAATGTCCTCCTTATATCTAAAGTACTTGTTCATCAATTATTTTCTTGAACCGTAATCTAAATAAGACCCTCAAAGACCCAGAATTCGATATTCGCATGTTTTCATCGCCCTTTTCCATTTTTACCCGACTCTTGTTCAGATAACCTTACAGCTATGTAGCCTAAGTCATACTTCGTTATATTTCGACGAGGTGATCGCAATTGACCATCAATATCTTGTGACTTAACACAACAAGACTTCTTTCATTTGGGTCACGTGAAAGTTAAGGACTTTGCCAAGAGCCCAGCGATGATCCACCACTTTAAAGAGAAATTCAAGAACATAAATTTGAAAGGATGGATGAGAAATTATATTTAGAAATATACGGCGATTCTATAAAAAAAGACAGATTTTCCCTTCCATATGACATCTTATTTGTGCGTCCATGTTACACCCAACACCACTTTGGGTATATCCAAGATATACCCCTATGATTCTTATTGTAGCCCACGGTAATATTTTTCTTTCTCCATCAAATTCCGTTATTGTTTCATAATTTTTGACCAAACCCTCAATCATATCCCTACTCTCCCTCTCGCCCACAATAATATTAATAAAAACACCAACCATTGTCGCTGTGTCAAAAGTCAACCAAACAATCTCTTTACAAACACATAAACATATTTACAACCCTTATCATCTATCTCATCGCCATCGTCAGCATTTCATAAATTTAACTAAAATCAAATTCAATTTATTTTCTATCCAAAAATTGTTATATCAAGCTACAACTCTATAACCCCCATTGAGTTATTAAAAAAATAACTGCGAATGATGATGATGAGGAGGGCAAAAAAATATTTTGCACAATCTATTCAAAACAAATTTTTTGTGTTCTCTTCTTCTGTTTTGTGAAATCACAAATAATTACTGGTACTCTAAACTATAATTACAGGATATCAAACTATGTTATTAACACCACAGGAACAAAATGTAATTACATTTTCTAACTAAAAATGTTGTGATGTTCGAACATACCCCTAAATGTGGAAATATATGCTGGCACATTCACACACACACACATAGCCACACATCCCAAATGGCAAGGAACTTTTTTCCCGGCTGGTTTACAACACATCCTTGAGATTATTAAAACTCTTAAACAAATGCTACATTTATGACACAAAACATACCGAAATCATGTTGTCGTCGTTATTGTTGTTGTGCTTATATTTTTTATTGTTGCCGAAGATGATGACGTTGATTGAATTTTGAAATGTGTAATGAAAACGCGTTCCCATTCATTATTTTTGTGTTCTCTATACAGGATATTTAATGAACAGAATTAAGTACTTCCACTTGAAGCCGTCTAACAATACAGTCAAGGCTTGGCATTGAACCCCCAAGTAACATCTTACACTTCAAACAAACACATACACACGTACACACCGAAATACCATTCATTGCAACAGTTAAAGGATATTTGGCTACTAGTCGTCATGTATGTGTGTACTAAGTATTTGTATGCCATCTCACACTTGTATTGATTGTCGCTGATGAAGATAGATGTGTATTTTTTTCATTATTTGCCAATTTTTTATTATTCTACTAAAGGCATTCATTTGTTGATCTCTTGCTTCTTCTTCTCAGTTCTGCTTATTGCCTTTGTATTGTTAGAAGATTTCTCGAGAAGAACGAAATCTCAATTTTATTACTTTTGTTATGTTTTTCTGCGATTTGGTTGTCGTTATTGATTTTTCATTTGTTAATAATTTTCGGATTAACGTTGTTACAAATTTGATGTTTTTTGTTTGTTTTCGTGAGGGTTGTTTCCCTTTTCATTGTTTTCTCGGATTTTAATAGAGAATTACAGAGCATATCAGTAACGTCAAAGTTCAAGTGGTATTTTTCTTTATATGCCGATGCCGAAAAAATTCACTCTGCCACGAATGTAATAAAACTCATTAAATCCGCACCGCTGTGAAAGTGTTTCAAATGATGGAATATATGATATCAGTGGTGCTGAACTATTTATACCCTCCACCATTAGCAACATCAGGTTCGGCCAGACCGAATTTTTTATACTGTCCTCTTTGTGGTGGTTATTCAAAATGTTTATAGTCGATCATGGGCTTCTACAATGGGACTGTGTGACGCCAGGAAAAAAACAAAATACCAAACTACAGATATTAAGATTGGAAAGTTGTTGGAAAACATGTCTGGAGGTCAAAAATTGAGGGAACAGTAATATGGGACTTACCCCGAAACTTGGACCTATATTGATAATATTTAGTAGGATAATTTGACTACCAATGAAACCTAAAAAATAAAAACATAGAAAGTTCCATTGAAAAGCGTTCCAAAAATACCCAACATTTCTAATATGGCTTATATGGGACTTACCCCGAAACTTGATTCAATATTGATAATGCTATGCGACAAGATTTTGGAGGGTCGATCATTACTTTGATCGATGATTTGATTGAATGATGTGATCATTAATTTGTCCTCCTGGAAAGGAGTTATGGCGTCATGATTTTTTATTATTAACTAAAACATCATAAGAAAGACTATTGCAGGATATTTTTGAAATCGCATGTCAAAAGTCCAATCGAATGAGGAATATTTTTTTAAACTTATTTACATTCTATCTCGAGTCATTGTGTGTCTTTTCTTGGACTTTAATCTAAGTGACACCTCTAAATATTTCACAAAAAAATAGCTCATAAGATTTTAGCAAGAGACCCAAAGACAAGAAATCCATATTCGCATGTTTTCAGCGTCCTTTTCTACTTTTATCCGATTCTTGCTCAGAAAACATTATATCTATGTACCCTAATAAATATCGTATAATTTGTAGATTACGAAGAAGTGGCTTCGTCTGAAATGTATACTAAATCTTAGATTTTTCTCTCAAAAATTAACCAGGAACTCCATTGACGGTGTAGCTACAACACATGATATTAGGCTCCCGGAAACCCCCTTGAATTATTATTGAAAAGTTTCTCGATCCCAGACGTAGATGCCTTTTATCGTCCGGTAGAAAATGCGGTTGTATGAACAGATATCGTAAATGAATTAGATAACGTTAACAAGCAACGAAGCCATTGCACTTTTGCGAAAAAGTTCCCGAATATGGATTTATGCAATTATCCTCAAATATTTTGTGATTTGACACCACTACACTTTCTCCATTGGGGTCACGTGAACAGCCCAGCGTCGATCCAAAAAATACTGTTCGTCAGCCTCTTCAGAATATAGAGCAGATACATCCCAAATGTCATGAAAAGGATATGGGAATGTGGGGGTTCCGGGCTTCTAACTTGCCCGATTCGATGTTTTTTAAATGTCCCAGCTCGATTTTGCAATAATGAAGCTGACATTTTATTTGAAAGAATGACATAGACTTTAAAACTTAATTTCAAAGCAGTATAGTCGGACGAGACCGACTATTTGATACCCTGAACAACTAACATTCAACTTAAATTATCTGTGGACCTAAATCCGGTATCGACATATTTATGCTATCTGGTTTGATCATGGCTATACTTAAAATTTTTATAATATAGATTTCTGAACAAATATTTTAATACAACTGCAATATGCGAGTACATACACAAAAAATACTTCGTATATTATATGAATAGTGTTCAGAAAGTGTTGAGAATGTCCACATTTCTGCATTTGACGCATTCAATTCATAAAACTTTAAATAATGGTTTCATATCAAAGAGAGCGAATTAGAAAAATACCAATACAAATACCAAAAGAAAACACAGCCGTACAACGAATGGTGGTCTTGGTTTTCATCTTCGGAAGAATACATTTGATTTTGTCAAAAAGAGAGGGAAAGAGAACAAATAAGTGCAAAAAGTTTTAAAGTAGAGCGAAGTAGGTAAAGTTTGGATATTAATGCAATATGTACATTATTTCGGAAAAATAATTTATGCTTATAGAAATTTTTACTTTTATAATCAGCGATGCACATAAACAAAATGAAAAAAAAAAATAAGAACGAAATTATGAAAATATTCATTAAATATTTTTTTCTGTATACAATGTGAAGTTCTTCGAACCATGTCTTTCCAGAGTAAACATATACCCCTTAATATAAACCTTTTGCATCATATACTCAGTGTTAAGGCTATTGATATGACAAAAATCAGTATTAGATCCCAATTCTCTTTGGATCCATTAGACTGTATTAGAAAATTTGGAAAAGATTTAGAAATGTCTGTCTGGCTAACTGCATGGTGCATATAATAACTCACGAGTGGTAGTAAGAGATTTGTTCCAAACTTGTCATATCGTAATACTTCTTTCAATCATGAATAACATGTTCGAAAATGGAGACTATTGGTTCACCACGATATCATCAATATTTTTTAATTTTTTCTATATCCTTGTTTGGCAATAATCCACTTTCCTTGAATTATATTTAAAATAAAAATTATTTTCTTTTATATTTTTTCAAAATTTTTTATTAAACTTCTATGAATAATTTTTGTTATCTTAAGTATGTCTAAAAGCAAACTAAATTATCTATGGTTTTATTATTTTACAATACTGTTTGGCATTTTGGATGCTAATATTTTACAAAATAAAAAAAAAAAAAACATATATAATTGTCTACTAAACTAAAACTAAAAAAATAATATAATACAATTTATTTAATATAAAATTAATTGAATGGACATTTTAAAAAAAAAGTTATGATTTAATTATCGTCTAGTTTATATCACTTGTGTTTTTTATACAATAGAATAATAAAAATGCTTAAAATATGAAGAAGAAACAAAACGAACTACAATATTTTTAATTTATTTACAAAAACATAGAAATATGTTATATTGAGAACTAAACAAATTTTTTGTTTTTAGCTGCGCCTGGGGCTATCGTTCTGCATGCTGGATGATGTAATTCCATTTCCATTTTTTAATTATTTCATTTTTAATTTCAGTCTTCAGATTTTGTTACCACTGACACGGGTGTTGAATTTCCACTAATACTACCGGTATTTGTGGTGTTCAGTGGCGATTTGGGTGATGCTGCAGCCGAAGAGGTTAGGGTAACGCCACCCGATACTATTGTGGTTGCCGATTGTCCCGCACCAATTGTGGGACTCTCACGTGGACTACTATTACTGCACGGGGGACTAACTTGGGCAGTACTGTGTAGTGAGAGATTTTGTGGATAGGCGCTGGCATTAAAGATTCCATTCAAATTACTCAAACCCATGTACTGGGATAGTAATGTGTGGAAGTTGGGCAATTTGTAGTGGGGCATTAGTCCCTGGGGCAGCAGGGCGGGATTGAAAGGCTGATGTAAGGCAAAGTGTGGTGGCCAAAATTCGGCGGGTAAACCACCAGGATGGCCGGGAATGCCATGTGGCAATGGTATGCCCAAAGGGAAATCGGCAAGACCTAAAAATAAAACAAACAAATAAAAATTTATTAATAAAATAATGTCATTAGATTTGCTATGGTATTTTTTTCTATTTCATTGGGTTAATTAAATTTCAATTAGTTTTCCTAATGCGGAAATACATTATAATAAATTAGGCAATTACGTGACCACCAACGGAAGCCAGTAAAGTTGGAAATGTTAGTTGATTATTTTTTTCTAATTTAATTACACCCAAAGAAAATGAACTGTTAATACGATTTTGGTTTTTATTTGTGAAGTTTTGACACTTACCTTGTTCGGGTAGTAAATAACCATTCTTATCTTGATTCATGAATTTCTCGCGTTTACGCCACTTGGCACGACGATTTTGGAACCAAACCTAAAATTAGAAAAAAAAAATACAAATTAATATATTTTATACCATTATTATAAGATTTTTAAATATCTAAAATAAAAATATATTTTCCTAGAAATAATTACCATAACCAATTATCATAAATGCTTGCTAGTCTCTTTTTCCTATCCCTGGCTAATTTACTCAACGCTATACAATTTTCAAAGAATAAACGGCCAATTAACCCCTTTAATTATTGTTGTACAACACATCAAATCCCCAAACCTTGCGCCAAGCTGCAACCACCACCCTAACACCCATTCAAATAATTTCAAGGCAGACGACGACTGCGCGCCCCCGCCCCACCACTTTGAGCCAAGTTTAATACAGTTACTGGCAACACCACCTTCGCCACCAGCGACAGACAATAGAATCCAATCGGAAGTTAAATTCTGTGATTTGCTTTCAATGCCCCCTTCTGCTCCGCAGCAACAGCTACCATACCACCAAACATAATCATCCATCACCAAGCTCTTGAAGAGAACTACCTTCAAAGCCACTTAGCCACATGGAATGCAAAAGATGTTAGACTTTTGAAATTATTTGAATCCTTCGACTGGTGGCTGGCTTCCTCATTGTGGATGGAAGGATAGATGACTGGGGTTGGGCGTGACCATGCTTGGATGGGCTTAATACATCTTTGTGTCTTATTAAATGCAATTTACAATTGTACACAAGTGTAACCGAATTGAATCAATTGTCTATACTTCCTTTGCAACGGATTTTGCCCAACACACAAAAATACAGGGTCCTTAACATTAAAATGACAAGTTAGCATACACACACGTCTTAACAGTATTAGGCAACATTTATCACCACACACACATACACACCCATTATTTTCTTTGGTCTCTCTATCTGCTTCATCATATGACAACATTCAGAGCATCCTTGCTGAACGAGCGAGCGAACGAACGAACGACCGACCAAACGAACAACAATGTTGTTACATGTGTATGCGTACAGTAAAATTAGTAATGATTTCCTGGCAATAATTGTTACAAATTATTGTCATACTTTCTGTTAGAAAGGCTCGCAGTCACACACCCACACACGTTTGTCTTGTCTTTCAACGATTTTGTGAACAATACATACATGTGTAGATTTTTGAAGGATACGTGGTACAATTTACTACTGAAATTCGAAAACAACCACCCACCCCCTGCTCTATACTTTCCCACAAGCCAAAGAAAGCTTTTACAATACAATGACATGAGTCGACAATTAAACAAAAGCCACTTATACAGATACATATCTCTACACAGATAAATGAGGACTATGAATGAAATTATCACCCGCTCAGTTGTATTTTGTCTTCCTTTTTTAAAATTGTTTAGAACATTCATTGTGAATGATGATGATGACGATGATATGACAATTTTAATTGTTACAAGGACAATTATTAATGTACAATTTAACATGATAATTGGTGTGTATGAACAAGAGAACCAGAAAAATAGAAACGAAGGAAGAAAACAATTATTAACAACTGGCATGTCAAAGCAGTGCATAAAAAAACAAGGAACAGCGTATTTACACCTTTCGTTCCAAGGCAATTTTAGCAGAATATAAAAGGAAATAATCATAGAAATATATTAAATGTGACATCTGTATAATTTTTCTGATTTTTAAAGACTTTTTTCTTGAGTATAACAGTTTTGATTGAAACTGTTATACTCACAAAAAAGCTAAAATGTATTAGTTTAAAAGTTAATAACACATTTTATAAAGTTTTAAAAATTCCTAGAGTATCTAAATCGCAGGAAAAACTGTTATACTGAAAAATTTTCAAGAATTTAAGAAAACGAAATAACAAAACTGATTTCAAATAGTTTAATTATCAATCTCCAATCATTTTGGATAAGTTTTATGCAGTATAACAGATTTGAAGAAAACTGTTATACTGCTGAAAAAATGATGAAATAGTTATAAAAATGAATTTTATCCACATATGAACCGCTTAAGATGACATTACAGTTATATGGATGTGTTATATACTCTTACAGCATTTTTTCTTTATTTATTTCTAAAACAATATTTCCCAAACTTAATAAACTGCCTAATAATTATGATTTTGTATATACACCCCATATTATCATAATTATGCTTATTACGGACCCATTTTAAAACAATTATGGCCTATTATGCGGGTGCAATTAACTTTTGCTTTAAATCTCATACCAACAAGGACAACTACGAACAAACATAAAAGCTTAGCTGCTACTGAAGGATATTTTTTTGTTTGTGCCAGAACAAATTTACATAAGAAATCCCTAAGTAGTTTATATTATAAGTATGTGATAATATCATTTTAAAAGATACCATGGCAAATTTTAGTAATTTCTAAAATAGTTTTAAAACACTTTCATTTATCCTGAGACATAGAGAGCGAGAGAAGGGGGAATGGAAAGGACACACTCCTTTTGTGATGCTTGGCACACAATTACTTTAATGGGTATTTAATAGAGATTTTCCAAATGATTAAAATCGGCATTGGCCTGGTGTTTTGCAGGCTTATAAATGATGTTTCACAAACAGTGAGAGAGAGGGGTGTTTTTGATTTTTGTTGGGGGGTTGAATTGAACTCGTAAAAATTCACACATAATTAGTGTGCTATCTATTTTAGGGATGATGATGATTTCTGATATTAACATACCCGGTGACAAAAACAAACAATTTAATGGGTATTAACGAAATAAAAAAGGGAAAATGGCAATTTGTTATAAATCGGCTATTTATGTACTTGACCTATCAATGAGACAAACAACAGCAACAATAACAACAACATTGGCTGTGATTTGAAGAGTTTATTATGTCCTTGATGGTGATGTTGTTGTTTTTTTTAGATATAAATCGTTCTGTTGCCTGAAATCCGTTTTTTTTCAAAATTTAATTGGTCATTGATGGAAATGTTAGATTGTTGTCTGGAGTATTTTTTGATAATCGCGTGTCATCATGGTGCATAACAACATTAATGTCTTTATTTTTTTATTTGTTTTTGTTTCCAGTTTTTTATTGTTTGTGGACAAGCAACTCTTGCCCTGTGCATATGCAGAATCCTTGCTGTGCTGCTGTTGTTGTTCCCCTTCCCCCTTAGCATCATTCTCGCGCCAATTTAATCCTTGTCAATTGTTTTGTATCAATTTGTAGCTTGTTTTCTATCATCCATCATAAATGGTTCCGCGTAATTTTTTAAACGAATTTCGTTATGTTCTTGTTGTTGTTGTTCCTCTTAACAAGGCAATTATTTTCGGATTTGTTGTATGTGAAAAAAATCGAAACGAAACGAATGCATGAATCGACCATACGCACACATGTTTGGCTTATGTGTAAACTTCATGTGTGTATGTGCCCCTTCTAGGTTATAACTGGTTCGATTTTGAAAACAATTCAGTTTTTTTTAACTGGTCACGCTTTTTTGAATCGGTTTTGTTGCAGATTAAAATTGTAACGAATTATAGCATTCAAAGAGGATTGATTTAGCAATTTGATAGAATATAGAAAGGGGGATTTTTTTATTTTTCAAATAAAGTATAATATGTATTCTCAAAAACAAATAAAACATTTATTTTTGTAATTAAAATTCAAAACCACAATAAATTTGCGCCCAACTTTAATAAAAAGTCTACGAAAAATAATTTAAAATGCTAACATTGTCACATTTTTCTATGTTTTTCTTGAGTATAACAGTTTTGAAGTCATTAAAAAGTGTCTACATTAATTTATTTTCATTTTCTTGTCATTCTAAAACATTTTCCTTGAGTATAACAGTTTCGCACAAAACTGTTATACTGGAAAAATTAATGGAATTTGATATCTTAATGTATATAGAAGCAAATTATGACGATTAAAAAATATTTCAAGCCAACGAAAACTGTTATACACACAAGAAAAAAGTTTCATTTCAACTAAATTCATTGTTTTGTAAGGTCTACACCAATTAAATTAAATCTTTTTTATGGATGTATCTCTTTTTATAATTTTTCCCACATTTCCTCTAAGTTCTCTTTCTGATTTATCAAATTAATTGCCTTTTGTTTATAATTGTTATAAAAAATACTATTATAATATTAATTTGTATTTACCTGTACACGTGCTTCACTTAAATCCAAGCGCATTGCCAAATCTTCCCTTGTAAATACATCCGGATATTGGGTCTTTTCAAATGCCCGCTCCAATTGATGTAATTGAAATGTTGTAAAGGTGGTACGTGATCTAGTTTTTTTACACATTGATATCAAAAGGTGGGGAGAGAAAGAAAGAAAGAGAAAAGCAGATTAGAAAACAACATTCATTATTTGTTTTTGAGCAATTGTTTTAATTTTTTAAGCGGATTTTCATTGTTTTGACGGCGGATACATACCTTCTTACTTTACGTGGCCTTTCCATATCACCCATATCATGACCATTATTTAGACTATTCGAAAGATCATCATCGGTATTATCGACATCAAGGCCATTGTCTAAATTGTCGGGTGAATCTTCACGTTCACGTTTTTCGGCATGGGATTGCGATTGTTGTTGCTGCTGCTGTTGTTGTTGCTGATGAAGATGTTGCTGTTGTAAATGATTATTGTTTAAATGTTGCTGCTGTTGTTGTTGCTGCTGCTGATGTTGCTGTTGCAAATGCTGATGATGCAAAGCCAATTGATGTGAGGGTATCAAATGCAAATGGCTATGTAAATGTGGCAATAATGAGGTTTGTATGGGACTAGTTGGATTGCTGCTGCCATTGGTGTTGGCAATGTGATGAGCAGTTTGTTGATTCAGGGATTCGGATGAATCTGTAGGAAAAAACATGATCAAAAAAATAAATTTTAATTTATTAAAAAATAACATTTTTTTAAGTTTTCCGGCCATGTATAACTGCAAAAAAGTCAAAAATATTTTCAAATATTTAAACCAACTATATAGAAATTCGAAACTCTCGATTTCATTTAATTTTCATCATGTATAACAGTTTTATAACTGTTATACAAAACTGTTATACTACTAAAAATTGCTAAATTTTTTTATTTTTTTTACAATGTTTTCTTTCAAAGCAAAAACAAATAAATTAGTTTTGAATCTAAAATCCTAATTATCCAAATTAATTATTATTTTAAATTAATTTAATAAAATTTTATTATTTTAAATTAATTTACAAAATTTTAAATCCATTACTCTTTAAACTAAATTTCTAAAACCACACATTTTCCCCACCCCAATAGATATATCCAATATCAAGCGATTAGTTTTCCACAAAATACGACAACAACAAAAATTAATAACCATTTTATATGCAAATCAATTTAACACCTAACAACAATCCAGACAATATGTCAAGTGTATTTGTGTGATAATACCAAACGTAATTGAATTACAATGATGCTGTAATAGAAACCACTATCTGTCTGGCAAAAAAAAAACTGAATAACAGGCCTCATCATGATGGATGGTCATCCAGGCTATTTTAAATTCAGGAAAATCAAGAGTTTAAAAATTTCATCTTTCTTTGCAGATTTTTTTTATTTTTCCCTTGCGGATTTCATCCCTTTTTTGGGTAAAATATTTTGCCATAAATTCACTTCAATATTTTCGGTAAACATTTGCCAAACGTTAAGTGTAATCAAACAATGGGTTATAGTATGGACATGAAATGCTGATGCTGAATCCAGCATTCCCAAGCCATTGTATTTTGGGGGTATTCAATTGAGAAAATAAAATCTTTAAAAGCAAAATAAAAAAGCCAAGTAAGTCAATAAATAAACGAAGGAATGAGTGAATATCAATTGAAATTGAATTTGATTTGGAAGTTAAACAATAAGTATACGCACACAAACTCTCACACACACACGGGTAAACACACTTTACGACAATCAAAAGCTGCAGTTGAAGATTTTTAATGTGGCTTTTAGGAAATACGCTTTTAAAAGGTGGTATGAGGTGAAAGTGAATTCCGGGGTGAATAAAACAAAAAGGAAACACATTGAGTAAATATCCACACAACAATAAAAAAGAGCGCGAAATATTTGCAAAGGCAAAAATTGTTACAAAACTCAATCAATCAAATCAGGTTTCCTTTAACAAAAAATCCTTTCTTCCTAAAAGTTGCAACATTACGTCCTTTGTTAATCTACCAGCCATAATAGAATTATTGCCATTCAGATCGTTACAAAAAGTAAATGGCTGTGTGTGTGTTTGTACACGTTCACCTTTAGCCCAAAACCCATAATCAAGATTTAATGAGCCTCAAATTAATAAATGTTTTGCCCCATATACAATTTAAAAATGAACCGATACGTCTGCATCACAACAGGATAAGCTTGTTTCGCACAGCAGGATACAGAGCAGAAACAACGTCGACATCGACAGCCTCATCAGCTAATGGTGAAATATGCGAATTGTAAAAAAGAAAAAATACGCGCGCGTTCCGTCTCTGCCTCTATTCAAAACTTATGGAAAATTATGCATTGACATCGGCATCAATTGACAACTTTCAAACACAGCACACACGGCAATGGGAGGAGTGTATGCCTGCATGCTGGGGTAATTTCATACTCAAATTACCCAAAGCAATCGCTGGCTTCACTTCACTATCTATCCCAGCTATCACCACTCGTCATACTCTTCATCATCATTAACGCTGTGACATTTAGAATCATAAGCAAATTATGAACAATTTTTTTTTTGCCCCCCACCTGCTGATGACGTTTCCTTCACTTCGGCACAATGGTGAAAAATTGACATGGACAATTTTTGAATTTTAATAAACGTATCAAGCTATTCCATCCATTCCATTTGGGTAAAGGTGGTTGCAGAGCTGTGGCACATCATAGACATCGATGCTGATGTTATGCTATCACCTCATGATATCCTGTTGAGCTTTTATGGTCAAAAGAGAGAAAATTTGCAAAGGAGTCGTTGACGAAAAAAAAACAATGCAAAAAAATGTGTGAGTGTGTGTCCCATTGGGTGCTCGTTTAGGTGTCAATTTCACATTGCGGGGAATGATGGAAAACCAATCGATACATTATGTTAGGTGTTCAAAATGACATGAACACCCAAAGACTGAAAAGGATCGCCATGTTGTATGGAAACCAAACAAAAAGGACCTCTCAATAATTATTGGGTGTAATTATGTGTATGTGTTTGTGCACATTCAGCGGGTGGTAATGGTAATGTGATATTGGGTAACCTTTTTATAAAGGTTTTCATTTTTGCAGGGACTATTAAGAGGTATATAAGTATAGGTGGTGTATAAGTGGATTTTATTTGTATATGTATGAAATATGTTCGTGGAAAAGAATTAATAAGGCAATTTTTAAAAAATAATTAACAAATTCTACACATAATTGTTTATGTTATAAACATTGAGAAATTTTTGAACATTTTGAGAAACCTTTTCTTCGGGCTATAATGTGCAGTTCGGTATAATATTCAAAGCGTTTAACAGATCAACAATCATTAAAATATACTATAAAACACCTCGAAATTTATTACGGATCATTTCAAGTCAGTTTCAACGTGTATAACAGTTTTATAACTGTTATACAAAACTGTTATACACGCCAATTTTGGCAAATTTATTATTTTTAAAGACTTTTCTGACCAAATAAATGCAAATTTCATAACATTTAGGTAATATAAATACGATTTTGGGTGAAATATTATATCTAAAAACGAAATTGTTTAATTTTTAATTGAAAAAAATGTGGAGTTAATTCTTTGAACATTTGACCTCAAACCGACGGATAAAAACAATTGGTTTAAATAAGAAAACTTGTATTCAATTTCAAATAAATCTCCTCTGAAACTTTAAAATATTTATCCACTGTGAAGTATCAATCAGAAAATTAAATCAAATTGATCAGAAATTTTGAAAAAATTTTGGCGTCGGAATTTTACCAATGTCGAAATACTTGAAAATTGATTAGCAACAAGATACTGATATGGAGGTCCGACGATGGCAGGAAAGATATTCGCGAAAATGTTCGAAAAACATTTTGAAGATTTACAGTCAAATTTTTTTATTCAGTTTAAATTGGAAGCCTAAGAATACCTAAGGTTTACTTCTGTCGAAATTTTTCTATTTGCCATAAAAATTGGTTTTGAGGAGTTCGAAGCTGGGTATTCCTATCCCAATATTTTTATTTCCGTATTTCTAAACGATTGAAGGTTTCAAACAATTACATGATATAATTCAAAATATATCCAACCAATTAGAACATAGAATCAGACTAAGACTGCGGAAACACAGGTATATATATCGCAAAGACCTGTGTTTAGATCGATCTTCAGATAATTTTGAAAATATTTTAATTTTTTTAAAATAATTTGAAATCCAAATAATAGAAAAACCGATGAAGAACTTTTGCTGAAAACATGGTTTTAAATTTTGCAATGCTTATAAAAAATACTCAGACAGTACGAAATATTATTTTCGATAAATGCTAAACCATTGGCATGCTTATTTTTTCTCGCAAAAATATACCGTCGGTATTTTTTTCGGAATAAATTACTATAATTTTTTTCTATAAAACTTACCACTACGTTTAGTTTGATTTCCCAAAATTTGATCGATGCTGTAGACAGCACGTGGTCTGGAGACGGGGCTTTCTTGTAGAGGGCGTATTACGGGAGCCATTATAGCATGAGGTGCAGTTGTGGTCATCATTATAATATTAAAATATTATTTTTTGTAATTTATTCACAATTTCTCAATTTTTTTTTTCAAATAATAAATTTGTTTTTCAAATTCCTTTTTTAATTTACACAAACATTTATTTTTCTTTTTTTCAAATATTTTTCTTCATGCAAAAACACTTAATATTTTTAAACAATAATTGCACTTTTACACGTGTTTATATCTTTATTTTTATTATTCAAAATTACAATTGATTAATTTTTATTTAATTTGTTATCCACAAATTTGCTATGGTTTTTTGTTTTGTTATTTTTTCTTTCGTTCTTCCTTTGCGAAGGATGTAATGTTCGTTACGAGCATTAACCACCGACTAAGCAATGAATGGTTAAAACATTAGCATTAAATACAATTATAACAGTTATATTGCACAGGGCAAGACAGTGTGTGAGTGAAATAGCAAACATCCAGCAGGGATATGCAACCCCCTGTTGGTCGCATACAGCAAAAACAGGCTCGCAATGTATTTTACTTCTCTTTCACTCTAATGGCAAACAGAGAAGAGCAAGAATGTGAGTGTGTATGTGTTTGTGGTGTTGAAAGAGGGTTGGTTCTTTTGCCTTAACACTTAACGTATACAGGTAGGTTTATCTGTGCTACATTCACACACACACGCACACATACTCTCTTTTTGGCACCCATCCATCAACATCCTCGCCTATCCTTTGGCCAATTTGTCTATTATCCACTAAGGGGTGTTGTTCTCCTCTCTCTTTAAATATATAGATGACTTTTGTTGTCTAAGTGTGTGTGTATTTTCAAGTCCTTTCACACACATGCACACTATTATATTCCATATAGTGTTAAAACTCATTAATAAAACAGTTTGTTCAATAATTACTCTCCTAGGTTATTATTATGCTCTCTCACTATCTCCCCAAATTGCTCTTGAGTAAATATTTTGTTACTCAATTAAATAAAAATGATATGAAAATTATTTTTAACATCAATTTAATATCCTTAACATATGTTTACATACTCGCATATACACATATATCTCGATGATCTTGTCATTGTTTCCCCTTGGCACATCCTTTCTCTCTCACACTCCCAGTTGTATCTGTTATGCATGGCTTTTGTGGTTTCATTTACCTGTCTTTAACGCCATCATAAATTTTTTATGATTTCCATAATTTTTATATGATTTTGTTCCCAAATGTCAGCGTTCTTCCTGTGGTTTTCTTTTCTTCGCCTTTACACCTTTATGATGTCTCATGACGTTCCCGTTGTTGTTGTTTTTATGCCTTTTTAATTATGGCGCACATAAATATTTGTATACCTTTTATTTCTGTGGTGTCCCCCGTAGCAAGCATGGCATCACCTCGCTCTGCAGGTAGCTTCCGCTTGATCCATTGATCAAATTTGAGCTACTCTCAATGAATCCTTTTACTTGAAATGGGATTTTCATTGGTATTTTTTCTGTTTAAGTTCATTGATTAATATTAAATCATTGCAGATATAAGATAGAGGAATGCATTTTAGTCCTGTTTAGGGTATATTAATTAGAAATAAATCCTAGATGGACAGGTGTATTGCATGTTAAGAATCCTTTTTGGAACAGAACATGTCTGGTTTAAAGGTTATTTCGAAAAATTAATCAATATCGATAGCCTATTCTAATTCGAAGAGAAAGGTAGGAATGGATTGGTGTTACTGGAATACAAGGCATGTAGTGGATCCTCTGGATAATATGTGAGAACACCGAACTTAATAAGAACTTACGATAAATCTAGGAGGCAAAGAACGTTTAACATTGGTTAAACTGCATATTGGCCAAACACAGAATTAACATTTCAATATTTCATAACATTATTAAGACGCTCAAAGAAGGGTCACTGGGGCCAAAAACTCACACTAGGGTAAATTTATTCACTTGTCGGGAACTTGATAGTAAATCGAATGTTGTGTGTGAAAAGTTCTGAAATTGAAGCATTCATTGGAACCATTTGATATTTTAATACTCTAAATGAGTATCTATGGTTCCGATTTGCCCCCAATGCCTTTTTATTATTTCTTCCATTAGACAAGTTCCAATCAATTACTAATTGTTTTGACCTAAAAATAGCTGTTATATAATTCAAAACACATAGCATATTTATTATCAAACGTTTATAAAAAAATATAATATCATTCAAAGTTGTTGACTTATATTAAGGAAAAGTGTCTTGTTCTCCAGTTATTCGAAACATTTACATTTTGAGTCGATTTAGTTGACCTATGGATGCATGGTCTCCTACGCCATACACTCAGTTAGTACCGAGTTCAAAGAATCCTGAGCCTGACCCACTGATGGTGCATTCAATTCAATAATCCACGAAATGGGGTTGGAATTCCCTTCGGATCAACTGTATTTTTCAAAGACATACGAAGAAGATTTTTACTATCCATGATTTTGGGAATGTAAAATAACAGCCTCTTACGTTGGAAAATGCAGGTTGAACCATCAGTAAAAGTAAAATGTGACTGTATTAGAATTCGGACTGCCTTATAACACTTTCTTTTATTGGAAAATGTTGATAAAAGTTTCGAAATATTGAAAATTATTTGCCTTTATGAGGGGTACCCCAATAAGTGAACCGATATATCAAATTTTCAATATTACCTATCCTGGTACTAGTAGTAATGTATGTGCAAAATTTCAAAGTACTATCCTTATGATTGCGATTGGCTATTAACAATATCGATATTTCGAGGCGTTAGAAACAGAATAACAAAAGGGTACAAATTGGGTTGAACCAACAGAGTTACGTTTGCTAACGATTTTTTGGCTCAAGCTTATTACTGCTGATTTAAATGCGGTATTTTTAATTGTTCTTCTAGCTTCGAATCAAAAATCAAATCAATTTCGATAAGATGATTTAGTAATGCTTTTAGTATTATAAACTTCTCTTTAACTAAATTAAACCTTGAAATTATATGTTCGCCAAAGTTATTTGGAATCTGCCCAACCCAATAGTCAATGAAATTGTAATTGGAGTCTGGCACTCAACCAGTTGATCCACATGTTGGATCCTGTTGCATCATTTTAACATCATTTACATTATGTTTGATGTTTTTTGTTCCAAATGAGCCCGACTGTAATTTTTAGTTTCGGCATACTTTTAATATCTCTGTTTGTTGATGTTCGCCCATGTTTGTTATCTAAGTATCGAATTACTCTAAAAGCACATTTAAAACGATTATGACTTGGTCCACATGTTGGGACTCACTAGATCATGAATTTGAAATGAACCCCTGGCACCCAACGTGGGGTTCGACATGTTGGGAATCGGTGCAGCCTTTTTGATGATGAAATCGAAATGGACCTCATGGATCTCTATAAATAATCGATTTCAATATCTAGTGGGTTGGGCAGATTATCAACAAAAGTGTTGTACATATGTTGAGCGAAGTAGACGTAAACGTTGTTCCGGAAATTATTGTTCTCAACTAGGGAAACAAATTTTTGTTGGTGTAGCCAATTTTGGGGTACCTTCAAATTGGCTGTCATTTTTCATTTTCAAAATATTATAATTTTATATATATGTATTTGAATTTTTTACCAACTCCTCCAAACTTTCAATTCCTCCTCTTAGACATGTTAATTAAGAATGTTCAATCCTTCATATATGAAAAGTTGATCGGGATATATTACACAGTCATAACATATTCTGGTTGCTCTAATTTAAACACATATTGCTTATCTGAAGCTTTCCTAATGTAAACCTTAGTCTCACTCTGATTTCACCAAAGCAGTTCCAAAGACTTAGACAAAAATCTATAGGTAATATGGCAATAATCATACTACCCCCTAGCCAAAGTAGCCCTCTACAAATTTAGTACCTAGCTTTAACCCTCGAATAAAAGTTGATCTGAAAATGCATCATTGGATAGATCCATCTTTGGATAGACTTCAACTATCTGCTCTAATTCTGACAAAGACATTATTTCGTTTATCTGAAGCTAATGTAAAGACTCGGTTAAAACAACGAAAGCCTTACTCTGGTTTCACAAAACTAGTTCCAAAGACTTAGTCAGAAATCTGTAGGTAATATGGCAATAATCACAGGTCCATAGGGTTTAAAATAACTTAGAATAGTTTAAATGTGCGTTTTAGCAGGGTACAACGATTACATGACGATTACATGGTTCATGGACGATCGCTTAATAATGACATAATCTATTATTACTAATACCTATCCATCGATTATAGCTTATAAATAAAGCTGTTCATTAGAATTAAAAATACGCCACTACTTGTCTACAATGTGAGCAGAAAAATAGCTCACCTTGGAGGATTTTCATTAAGCGAGATGGATGGATCATGAGACCACATAAGATTAGTGATAGCCAATGATTATGTTTTTCTTATCCGAATGCCTGTACAAGGATGATTTAATCATACTTTAAGTTTTAAATTATATCCATTACTAGATGTTAGCTAACTAAGGCTGAAATGGTTCGAAGTATTAATGCAAAATACTTAAGCGTTAAACTCAAATGCCTGATCAATATTTTAAGGAATATATATCGTGTTGATTTAAATCTAAGTACCACAGTTAAAATTAGTGATCATGCTAGGCTGAAAAACTCTTGGCGATCTAAAAATCTATCCAGGCGGTACAACGTTAAACAGGACTTAAAACAGTCTTCAACATAATCCTAGTACGAACGCTAGGATTTGAATATACTTCGTATGAGTTTATGAATCTAATATGTTGAAAACATCTATATTTGGATCCCAACTTCTATCCAGAAGGAGTTTTATTATATGTTCAATAATACTTGAATATGTTCTTTTTTTGCTGTTTTAAAAATTTTGCAAGTAAAGGTTTATTTGTTGTTGTATTTCAAAATAATTCAGACTACATTCGCCTATTTAAATTACACACTTACATATGTGATAGTACGTATGAATGTAGAAAATATCCTTGTTACACAAACTATTGTCTCCTTAAACCTTATTACCCGAAAAACGTTGATTATGTTTA